ACCCTAACCCTAACCCTAACCCTAACCCTAACCCTAACCCTAACCCTAACCCTAACCCTAACCCTAACCCTAACCCTAACCCTAACCCTAACCCTAACAACGTTGTGACAAGCATTCTACATGTTAACACCGACACCCAAAACTTTGAAGGTCGAGATCAGCACCCAAGCCTTGTCCTCACAGTCATTGAAGCGCTGGATGATGGCTTCCTTTTCCACACCAGTTATAGAGGTGTGGATCTCGGTGTATTCAATACCAAGGACGTTCCAAAGCATAGCGTAGATCCAGCAGTCATTAGGAAAGTTGCAGAAGATCAGCAGCTTGTTTTGCTCAAGCACCAAGCCCGTGGTATTATAGCGCAGGTTGTAGATAATACAACAGGTGTAGCGCAACTTGGCTGAACCTTTGACGAGCCATGTGGCCATGTCCCAGCGCATGGAGTATAGATACATCATGGGATTGGGCCGGCAGATGTTGAAGAAGGTCGTGGCACCCACATCGTTGAAGTCGCTGAGGAACTCACACACCTTCTCAGAACGAAGACCAACACTCTGAATGACTTGGTACATGCGAATGTTGGTGGCAAGGGTAACCAGCTTGCGGTAGACACCTCCATATCAAAGAGCACCAGATCTGGAGAATAGTTAGCACTAAGCCCTGAGCGCAGGAGGAGAGGGAGGGGGGCACCACCCTGTCAACCAACAGAAAAGGCGCGCCTATCGACTGACAGGGTGGGACCCCCGGGGGGCTGGTGTTAATGGCTGACAAGCCAAGTGAATGAGAAAAGAGAAAATATATACCCAAGATCGTCAGTGTTGCTGTTGTTGAGGTATAGATGAGGGATCAATGCCTTAAACAGAGCCTCCAAGACAGCCGCTTTATAAGGAGAGCCTTGAATCTTGACCATGGTTGATTGACACATCTTCATGTTGTCGTCTGCAGTGATAACTGCACCATTCACCTGGAACTGCGTTGCAGAACTTGCCTTGAACTGGATAATGCCGAGAATAGTCCCGAGCACATTGTAGGCCATCTCACCCTTCATGAGATCTTTGTTAATGACACAGGCAAACATCTTGGGATTAAGTGCAAAGAGACAGTCATTAGTCGCGGTAGCATAACGCTTGAACTTGGTGCTGTATAGCGCGCTATCAGCCTTGCACTGCTCTAGGAACTCCTGGCGCTTGTCGAGCTTGTAGATCCAGAAGTCGCTCTCCTGGTCGCTGTCAGTGTGCCACTCAACACTCCAGGATGGACGCCACATCAAAGTGAGGTAGCCCAGGAGATCCTGAGCCCTATTGAGCATTGGCGTGGCGGAAACGACCCAGTAATAATCCGTGTAGGCGGTAAAGATAGCCTTATTGTTGTTGGACTTGGGGTTTTTGATCTTCTGGCCTTCATTAATAAAGATACAGCGGAAGACACCTCGCATAATGTTCATGTACTTGTAGGTCTGATTGTTGATGCTGTTATTGCTCTTCTTCTGGTTCTTAGTTTTGCTGGTAATCTTAGGAACCAGTTCCTTGTTGGTGATGGCCATGTGAAGCAAGTTATCCGTCTCATCAAGACCCTCTTGAGCCTTAGCGGTGGACAGGAGAATTTCACCGATAGTTGGCGCATGTGCCTCTCGCTCTAGAGGATATTAGTAGATATTTAAAAGCGGCGCACTAGGGGGGTGGGGGAAAGGAGGGGGGCCTCTTACCTTGTTAGTTGATAGAAAAGGTGCCTGTTCTGTCGACCAACAAGGTAAGAGCCCCCCTCCTCTGCGCTCCGCTTACACCAGCTAAGCCGCAAGGAAGGGAGAGAAACATACCGTCTATTAAACCCTCTCTCTGCAGGTTGATCACATCTTTGAATCGCTTGACTGGCTTCAGGCAGCGCTTGGTAAAGGTCTCATAGCTGGTAATGACGATCACAGACTCGGTCTTAGGATCGTTCTTCTTGTAGGTGGACTGCAGCTGCTTAACCGCTTCTTTTGCTAACAAGCTGAGCAGGAAACCCTTTTGCTCTTGAGTAATGACATCCTCGTTGCCATCACTATAGTTAAGGCGGATCTGCAGGTGCCAGCCAAAGTAGCGCTGGATCTCTGTAAACCAGACCGCGACAACCATGGCGGGGCAAATCACGATGCTAGGCTTGTAGACAGGCAGCTTCTCCTTCTTACTGCCGGCCGCAGCAACGCGCGCGTTATGAGCCAGCAGCTTCTTGCGATACTGGTTGTAGTGATGCAGCAAGCAAGACAGGGTCTTACCTATACCAGCGTTAAAAGCCAAGATGCCACTGCCGATGGCCTTGCTCTCCATCTCGTCCATCCAGCCGGCCGCAAAGATCTGGGACACAACCGGTCGGTAGGGAGAGTCAGGGATGCGGATAGCCTGGACACCTTGTACGGCAATCTCAGCAGACACACTGATGGCACTACAGCAAGTAGTCCAATCGGGGATGGCGGTGGTACAGTAGGCGGTCTACTGGCGGATCTTATTCCACGCTTTGCGCTCGTCTTTGGTGGTATACTCGTTATTGTCGTGAGGGGCGATCATGCTAGCCTCGCTCTGCACACTTGCGCCCATGGTTCCTTGCGACAAAGCCTTGATTTTGGTAAGCGAGGGGAAGGTGTCGTGGACAACTTCAACTTGCTGGCCGGCCTGGAAGAGAAAGTTCTTGATAGCGGCTTTGGGTAGTGGCAGACATTTAATGGCGGTGGTGGCGAGGGTTTTTCTAAACGCCTTCACCAGGTCTTCCATAGCCTGGAATCGCTCCTGGGCTTTCTCAGAGTCGTCATTGTCAGGCACTTCTTATTCTTCATTGCGTGAGGGGAGTTCCTTCATGTAGCGGTCGACAACATTTTTGGCCTGCTCCTTAGTACTGAACTGCAGGTGCTGGGTGGCCCACACACGCGGTATAGATCCGATATTAAGCATCTGATAGACAGCGTTGGTCTCCTCAGGCACAGTGGCAACTGGATGATAGCCAGCCTTGCTCTTCGCAAAAGCGGCGGGATCCACCTTGAGCTTGCCCTGCCAGTAGCGCAAAACACACTTCTTGAACTTTCTGCTGGTGGCGATCTGTCTCGTCATGTTGCGCTGGTACATCTGACAGAAGCAACGTATGAATGTCAAGGCACAATACTAGTCATCAGCACTAATATTGCAGAAGTACTGTGATGGCTCAGGCTCCTGGTTAACCCACTCAGGTAAGGGGTGGAAGATATGCTCGTTGCGCCACTGGACAATGATCTTATATGCCGTGATCACCGTAATCAGCGCGGCGCGGTCTATATCCACTTGGAAGCTCGCGAGCTCAGGGGCGTTGTACCGGATCTTTGGCATGTGTAATGTATTGGTGTAGTAAGGGACTGTATCGCAGAATTGGACAGCAGTAAAGAACTTCCTAGTTAGGACACTGTACTTCTGTAGGTCAGTGACCTGGAACACTTCTTGCTTTATCTGGTAGTAGTGGACAAGAAGCGAGGTATTGTCAACAAAGGCCCGATGGAGCGCCTTAGGGTCCTTCAGGCGCATGTAGGCGGCCACCGCAGGGTAGTCTGAGAAATCCTCGATCTTCTTCAACATGACATACACCCCAAACTCTGTGACCTTGTTATGGGCCTCTTTACACCTATCAAGGTCCTCAGTACCCTCAGTCTTACCCATGTCAGCAGGGTTAAGGTTGCGTCTAATCTATACAGCCTTGTAGCGTGCGAATGCCTTGGTGCTAACCGGACGGAACTTAGGGTGTTCTTCCTATCTCTCACAGTCGGAGTTGGCTTTGTCATCACTCAGCTGCCAGTCACCCTCAGGGGCGAAGTTGTCTTAGCCAACATCGGAGTGGTAGGAGTCATCTACATCAGGGCGAGGTTGAACGAGGCGTACAGTCTTGCTGCAACAGACCCTCTTGCCATCATCTGCAATCTCAAAGTCCTCATCAGAGTCATCAGCATTGAAGTGATACTTGAAGGTAGAGAGACTGCTCAGAAGGTTGTCATGCTCTGCATCACCCACTTTCCAGGCTCGCTTCTTCTTTAGAGTAGCTTCACCAAACGGAGTGGCGGGCATCTTACACTTCTCAGAGGGCCCTTGCTCCTCGGCCATGGTGTAGAGTAATGAGTGCACAAGGGGGTATATCTCTGTCGGTCAACAGAAAGTGGTGCTACAATCCAAGTTAGACAAAATCAACAAGAGGGGGCGGGGAGTAAGGTGCTAACCCTGTCGGTCAACAGAGGAGTAGGGGGGCGGAGCGGGGGGGGGGGG